ACAAATAGGGATGATGTTATATTAAATGGCAGACTTGCAGGAATGAAAAGATCTTTGGCTGCAAAAAAATATTGAAAGCAATTTAAAGGCTCAGTAACAGAGTAACACAGACCATCTTAAGAAAAAGTGCTCCAAAGTTGGAAATGAAGCAAAAAGCACATACGATGGCTCTTCAGTGTCACATAAGAGCTTTGTTCACCAGGGCTTCCCGACTATGACTGACTTATCTAAGGGATGGAACTTTTTGACTTTTCTTACTGGGAATTGAAAGACTGTACCCCTGAGAAGTTAGGTGTTAACTGTAGATTTCTATTCCTTACAGGTACTAAGGACGTGAGTGAAGTAGAACCTAGGAGAGAGGTTAGTAGATAGCTACTAGGAGTGGCCCAAGGGTGGCCGACCTTCTGGACCTATCCCGGTGCAGGACTTCCATGCTTTCTCCCAAATCTCATGGATCTCCTCCTCTAATGCTCTGACCCTCCCCACTCAGCACACTGACTCCCTACCAAATTCAATAAGTCTCTGCCACCTGGGCATCCTCTCCGTGCATGCGTCAGGTTTCAATTTTCATGTTTCAAATTTTATTTCTGAGATTTGTGGATGGAATTCATAGTTATTAAAGTCATGTGTTCGAAGTAGGCGCAATGTGAGAAATTACCATTAACGGGGAAGTGGACAATGCGAGACAGCTAACTGTTCCAAAGGATTTTGTCGATGTATGCAGAACCCATACACAAAGAAAAGGGAGCAACTGTGGAAGCAACGGAAAGAGGAGGGAGGGAGCGGAGAAAGGGGTGGGGGTACAAAAGGAGGAAAGAGACAGAGAGAGAGAGAGAGAGAAAGAGAGAGAGAGAGAGAGAGAGAGAGAGAGAGAGAGAGAGAGAGAGAGAGAAACGGAGAGAGAGGCGAGCGAGCGCGCGCGTGAGCTCCGGTCGCCCGATCCGCGTCCCCGAACCTCCACCTCCTCTCCCGACGCGCTACGTGAGAACAAAGCCGGGCCCCCAGCCTTGAGGGCTCGGGGACGCGGCCCCGTGGAGTGGTGGAGGGCGACCCCCGGGTCCCCGAGTCTCACAGTCCATCGCCTCCATCCATCTCTCCACCTCCCGCGCTCCAGCACCTCGGCCACTTACTTCTGGTCCAGCCCGGCAGGGCGAGCGCCAGCAGGCAGAGCCAGGCGGCGCCCACGCCCGTGGGCATGGTGGCAGCGGCCTCTCGCGCTTGGGTTCAGCACGCGGCCATCCAGCCTCCGGCCCGGAGCTCTGCTCAACCCGCGACTCCCAGTCGGGTTTTCAGCCATCAACCGCTCAACGCCCCGCCCTGGCTCCGCAGGGCTCAGCCATCCCAGAGGTGGGAGGGGAGGTGACGCGCCCGCCGGGAGGGGAGGGGCCGCGGCGGGGAGGAGCCAGCAAGACCCCTAGGGAGAGCCCCCTTGCTCTGGTGACCCGGAGCTGGAGAAGATGATTCCAACCCCATGAGGAACGCGGACGCTCGTGGGCGCGGCCAAGGCTGGGTTCAAAGCAAGAACTTTCAGGGGTTAACCGGGATCCCTCTGGGCACCAGGACCTATGTCCTCTGCTCTGTACTATGCTGGATGTGGTGGCAAGACTATGGCCCAGTCCTGTCCCAGAGGTTGCCTCTCTCAAAGCCAGGCTCAGGAAGAGTTAACTGCACCACCAGGCACAAAGAATTAAGTGCTTGGACAGAGTTGTTTTCTTAGCAGGAAAAAAATCCAGGAGCCCTTCCTTCTGGCTGTGAGAAGGGGGTGGCTAAGACAGGAATCCAGTGGAGAAGACATCTGAGCCCAGAGAAGGAGAAATGCAGCGCCAGTTGCCAGTGGGAAATCGGCCAGAAACCCTTGTGCTGGATGGGGGAACCAAAAGGAGGGCTCTTCAGTGTAGGACTTTGGGGAGAAATGAAGGGAGATAAGGCCCGAAATACTGAATAGTAATAAGAACAATCACTGAGAGTTTACTGTCTCAAATAATAAGAAAATAGTGATAACTGACAGCACCTTCTAATCGCAAACATTGTCTTAAACTCTTTATCCACATTAACTTATTTAATTAATTAATCTAGAAAAAGAACTATCTTTTATTGTCCTTTAGTTTGTGCCAGGGACTCTGGCATACCTGATGCCCTTCAATTAGACCATTAATTCAATAGGTAGATACTAATTTATCCAGTTTTAGAAATGAGAAAAACAAATCTGAAAAGCCAATTAATTTGCCCAATCTGAATTCAAGTGCACACCTGTGTGATTCCAGACTCTGAGGCAGCCCACGTTGTTTTATAAATAGATCAGTAAAGAGAACCCCGCTGCTAGTTTTTGGCAAACCCTGGTTCTAGAAACCATGCTTCTGGCCTCTGGTTATTTATTCTTTTCTCTGTATGTATGCAGAGAGAGCTCCAGTCTCACTCTTCTAATAAGAATAGTAATCCTATAGCTGCATATATACCTCACATAACCTCAATTACCTCCACAGGGGTCCTGTCTCTATATACAGTCACATTGGTGGTTAGGGCTACAACATACAAATTGATAGGAAAAGTAGGTAGGTAAAGGTGACATGATTTAGCCCAAAAGCTTTAACCCTAGAGACTTGAGACCACAGTTCAAATCCCAGCTCTCTCCAACCAACTCCTTTCTAGACTGAGTCTGTGATATATGACCAAGAAATGGGAATGGGAATGGTGCTTCCAATTTACCTCCCCACCAGAAAAGAAAAGAAGCTGTTGAGATACTGAAGTGATGCTCTTCAGGTAAACAATGAGGTGTGAAGTCTAAGTGATTTTAGGGACAATACACTTGCAAAACCCATGCTAACAGTTGGCTGACATTCTCTGGCACTTAGCTGGCCAATATTTGACAGCATGTACCTCTGAAAATTGGAAAGTAGTGCACAAGAGGCAAAGTCCGGAGTTACCGAATTGACCAAGGAATGAAAGTCCTCAGTCCTGTCTCCAGTTTACCTGCTCCCACCACCACCACACTTACACAGGAGCAAACATACACAACTGTTGACCCTAGTAAATTTTCCATTTATTTGTAAAGAATATATTTGTTATTATAAAGATATTACATCTCTATATTGTCTTCAAAATATTCATGATATTTAACCTAGTAATTACATCCCTAGGAAACCACCCACCAAAAGAATAATCTTCAATGCACACAAAGAGTTATGGACCCGAATGGTCATGGTGCTATTATTTATAATAATGAAAGTATTGGAAATAGCCTAAACATCTGACTATGAAAGAAGAATTAGTTATAGGTCACTTGTGGTAGATTAGCATGCAGTGACATAAAATACATTTATGAAATGTTTATTTTCTGATGTAAAGTAGAAACAAGCAGGGTCCAATATTACATTTAATCATGATCTTGTAAATAAAAGATGTTTTAAAGTGACAAGTAAACATGTTTTAATATGTTAGTGGTGGTTACCTCTCGGTGGGGGACCATAGGAAAATGAACTTTTTTTTTTTGTTTGGTTTGGTTGTATATTGTCTTCTTCTGTTTGGTGTGTGTGTGTGTGCAGGGAGGGGTAGCCTCTTCTGTTTCTTTACTAATCATGTATAACTGTTGTAATGGGAGTAGGTAAATAAAACACAGGAAAGAAACACAAAAGGATTATGTTTGATCCTGGTATATTATGCAGAGTTTTGCATGCTTGGCCTCTGGACATGTACTTGAACTTTTTCATTGATGTTAGAGAAACTGAGGCAGAGCTGAGTGACTGTTTCCAAATTTCCAGTCCAGGCGACCCAGGTCATTGATGCTCCCTAGCTACAGTCTATAGGTTAGGAGGTGACCAGACTGTAGGGCTTAAATCCCTTTGTTTTATGGCCATAAGCAAATAACTTTTCTGTGATTTTGTTGCCTCATCTGTAAAGGATGCTGATAATGATAGTTTTAGATCAGGGGGAGGTTGTGTGAAGCTTAAAATGGGAGTTTAGAATAGCACCTCTCATGTGGTAAGCAGCCAGTAATGCTAGCTTCTACCAATAGTAAGTACCAGGGTGGGGAGCACATTCCTAATACTTAGCTTGTGCTTTCAGTTGTGTAATGTGTGGAGGAGCCTAATTATATGCTGATTCTTTAATTATTATCAAAGATAATTATCATGTTTTCCTGTAATTATCTTTTCCTTGCCCCATCCCCAACACTATGAGGCCCTGTGAATAGGTTTGCACCTTGTTCTTTTCTGTTCTCCCAGCATTTGCAAGGTGCAATAAATGTTTAATCAGATAATTTTAAAATTAAATTATTGACAATAATGACTTCACTCTGGCTCAGCACAACCTGCCAAGCTATTTGTAGGAGAATTGTCTTGCTTATCCTTACCATGGGAATAATGTTGGCCTGGTGACAATTTAGCTCTATAACCCATTTTTCCAGAAACTCTCTTTCTTCAAAGTCTGAATTCTGTGAGTATAATTTACACTCATTCACATTCTCCATTAGTTAGTATACACAGCTATGCATGTTGTCAAGTGCACGCAATCGAATAAATATTTGCTTAATCAATATCATCCCCAAGCTTCCCTCCTTCTTTCCTGTGACTTGAATCCTGGCAAATACTGAACTGGTTGATACGCTGAGAATGTTGCCTTTTCAGAGTGCTCTGTAAATGAAACCACAGAAGATGTCGTCTTGGAGTCTGGCTTTTCCACTCAGCATAATATATTTAAGATTCAATGATCTTGTCACATCTATTGGAAGTTCCTTCCTTTTCATTGCCCAGGAGCATTCGGTTGTATGGCCCTGCCCCAGTCTATCCATTCAGCAGCTGAAGGACCTTTGGGTGTTTCCAGTTTTTGATGATTGCTAATAAGTCACTATAAGTATTCAAGTTTTATGTGAACATATCTTTTCATTTCCCTAGGGTAAATAAGTAGGTGTGGACTTGCTAAGTTTTGTGGCTAAGTATATGTTTAAACTTGATGGGGAAAAAAACCCTGTAGTTTTCCAAAGGATTGTACATTCCCACCAGCAAGGTATGATGGTTCCAGTTGCTCTTCCTCCTCACTGGAATTCAGTACATGCCTATTCCTCTGATTTTAGCCATTCTAACTGATGTGTTGTTCCCTGGCAACTCCGTTGCTCTTCAAATGCTATGTGAGGGAGCCAAGATTACCGAATCTATTCTGATAGAAGGGATTAAAACCTAAGTATGGCTTTTTACTCAAGTGTCTTGTCTATGTTCAGATTTTGTTATTAGTTTTGTTTCTTCCCCTTCAATAATCCAGTGAGAAGCAGATCTCCAACCCCTGGGAATCCATAAATCTCGGAATCACTCATTCAACAGTATTGATTGAAAAACTATTATATGTCTAGGATTTACTAGAATCTACAAATACAGAGATTTCTGAGACAAGGTCCCCACTTTAACAGTTAAGGAAGGAAGAGGTGGAGAAAAAGAGAGGGGGATTGGAACTGACAGGTACATTTCAGAGAGTGATCAAGTTTCCTGATGCATGATTTGGGTCTTTGGATTTCTCAACACCAGTACTGTTCCCAGAATTGTGGATAACAACACAAATCATTCTCAAGCAGTAAACACTCAAATGGCGCTAAGCACAGTGCCTATTTTAGCTAGTTCAGTGCCCAGAATAGTCCCATGTGTATATTAGATCAAACCATATGGAATATTGACTTTGGAGGTCAGCAAGGATCAAACTTAGAAATGCCAGCTAGTTCAACCTAATAGTAAGTTATGATTGATTGCACAGGCTTAAGATGTGTACTTTACCTCATATTATCCTCAGGACAAACTTCTGCTGTAGGTCCAGCTGATATTCCCATTTTATAGATATAGATGAGCCCTTAAAGTAGCATCTGCACGGTGATTGCCACTTGGAGAAGCCTGCTCCAAAGTCCTGAGGAGTCCAGGCTGGGTGGAGAGAGAATGGCTTGAGTGATAATGCAAATAGGAAATTTTCCTGCAAATAATGAGTAGGAAATAAATCCTAGATTCAAGCTGAAATGTGAGAACTTCAGAGCCACTGTCTGCAGCCACTGAGTCACTCTCAACCAAAACATGAAGAGGGTCAGTGGCCTTGGGTGACTATGGATTCTACTATGTCCAAGTGGCCCTGCAGCATCCCAAAGAAAACTCAAAAGTCTTAACCAAGTCAGTTTTTCTGCACTTTAGATATGCATTCAGATTCCCCCATCAGAATGGTGCTGCCACCACAAAACAGCCAAGAACAAGGTTTGCTCTCATTCTTACTAGTTTCAGGATGGTGTAGTTTTTCTTTTCTTATCAAATTCTCCAGATTTTTAAAAAAGATTTATTTATGCATACAGAACTGGG